CTTCTATTTCTGAGTCTTTTCTTAACTAGCGATAAATGAGGATTTTTCTACTTAAATATTTTTTTAACGAATAAGTATTTTTTTGCATTAGTCTTTTCTATTTAAATATTTTTTTTGACGAATAAGTATTTTCATAAATGATCTTTAGAGATATGCATTTGGTTACATTTACTCATAGAACTTGATGTCCTGATCGTACTGATTTTGGTGGATGAAGGTTATGTTCTTTTTTAATGAATGGAGCAAACAAACAAACTTAATGATTTTTCTTCTATTTTCGAGTCTTTTCTCAGTATCATAGCGATAATATATTGAGTACTCGACCTTGTGACATTTGTTTTTCTTCTATTTCCGAGTCTTTTCTTAACTAATGAGACTATAGTTTCCATCTTGAGTCATGAAGATATTTGATTAAGATGATTCTACTACCCGTTATGTTATTTGTGTTAAGTTGTGTAATGTTAAATTATATCAAATTTAAGTAGTATTTTGGACATTTGTGATTTTTGTTATGTTCGAATATGTTATGCTACATTATGTTGTGTTAAATTATTTAGAATGTTGTTAGATTATTTAAAATGTTGGATTTATTTAAAATTTTGGATTATGTTGACTTGAACTTGGACTTAGGTTTAGGCTTGGGCTTGGGCTTGGACTTGGGCTTGGGCGGGTACGGGGAAAGCGGGGACTGAGACGGAGACGGAGATTATAAATTTATCTGCGGACGAAGATGATGATGAAAATTATTTCCGTTAGCGGAGATGGACTGGAAATGGACGAAGATTTTTTAAACAGGTACGGGGATGAAGACTATATCCCCCGCCCCCGCTTCGGTCCATTGACATCCCTAGTTATGATATGATTTGTGCTGTGATATGAGTAATTTTTTATGAAAAATTGTATTTATTGTGGAGATGTTTTATATTATTTTAGTTAAATTATTATATTTCATAAGTTTTTTATTAGAAACAATAGTTGAAACATTGACCCAATCCCTCTATTATTTTGATAACTGTGACATCAATTTTTCAGAAACTATAAGAGATACCCATGATATTAGATGATTTTGTAGGGAGTGTCGGTAAATTTTTGTTTTTAGTTTGCGTTGAGCGGCGGTGGATTTGGGAGGATTTCGTTAGCGGGCCTTAGTGTGAGACGTTAGAGTCTGGCCCAATTGATGCCCTATTAGGGTCTGTTTAGTAGCGGTTCGATTTTTAATTTTTTTTATTAACTGAAATTATTTTTAAAATTGTCTCAGATTTTGAAAACGAAAAAAAATCGTTTCCAAAAAACAAAAAAGGAAACGGGCGGAAGGTGTTTAACGAGGTCCTACGATCAGCCTTGGCATCAAACTAATTACTCTACCAAAAAAACCAGCTAGCAAAACTATTTAAACCCTCAAACTCTCTCTCATCTCATGGTCTCTCTCAGTCCTTTCGTTCACAGCATCTCATCGTCTCTCTCGATCCCTTCGGTCACAGCAGCAGCACCGTCCAGCGTTCACAGCAGCAGCTTCGTCCAGCAGAGGAGTTCTAGCAGAGCAGGTCCAACTTTGTCTCTCTAGTCTGAAGCTCTCTCGTCGTCCATCATACACATACGCACAGAGGGAACCAAGTACAACCTGAAGAATTCTCTCTCTCCTCGCCGGAAAATTACGTCACCAATCGACATAATCCATCTGCTAATACTCCCCGGCGAGGTACGGATCATATGATTTTCCTCTGCTTTTCACTGTAAGGACAATTATATGCGTTAGATTTTCTTGGGCTTTTATAAAAATATGGGGTCTTTGTCAGCTTTGTTCCAGGTCTCGTATCTTTGATTAAAGATGCACAATTTGGGTTTTTTGGGGGGGGGGGGTTTTCTGTTAACGTTGATGGTGAATTTGGGGGGAATTGAATGTGTATTTGATTAATATCTGGGGATTTTTTTTTTGATATTTCGAGGAATGGAAGAGGGCGTGAGATCAGGGGGTGTGTTGAAGAAAAAGAGCTCGTCTGGTTGTTTGATTATTGTTGGAGTATAGATAGTCTAGGTTTATTAGGATTTCTTTTCCCTTTTTTACCCTTACTATGATTTTTATATTTTGTCTAAACTACAAGGATGTTTAAGTCACTCTGTATTATTTTTGGATATATATACGGGGTTCTACTCTTAATTTGAGTATCCCTTTTCATTCACAACTATCTCAAGTTGGTATCAGAGCCACTAACCCTAACCCTAACCTCCGCCAATCGTCATAACCAAACAGACCCAGCCGCTGCTCCTCCTTCACATTGCAACAGTAACCAGCCATCAACCACCACACTGTCCAGTAGCACCGATAGCCAGCAAGCATCCCACTCCGTCCACCCAGCAACCACACCAAACAGCCACCACTCAAACAATCATCGACTGCCCAAACCCAAACCAGCGAAGTCGTCTCAATCCCCGACACCGACTGCCCAGCGAAACCACTCAATCACCGAACACCGAACAGCCAGACATCAACTCCTCACCAGACCCAATACAATACCCAATACACTGAAACAACAATATACCTGCGGTCGTAGTCTTTGCCTCTGCCTCATCCCGTCCTCTGCGCCTCTGCGTCATCCCGTCCTCTGCGCCTCTGCCTCATCCCGTCCTCTGCGCCTCTGCCTCTTCGTCTTCGTTTTGGCGACGGTGGACGTTCATATCACAGCCATCTCCAACTTAAGTCTCTCTCTCTGAGTCTTGATCGAAGTGGAAGAAAAATCAATATACCCAATACCCACACCGACATATTAAACCAATACCCAGCCCACTGCCCGATACTCAGACCAAACCCATACATATTAAATCCAAACCCAGCCCACTGCCCATCCTCAAACCAACTGATTGCTTTTATTTCATCTACCAGCGAACATATACACACTAAATAGTAGCTAGCATCGACCAGTGTTATATCTAGGATTTTTTATGAGGGGTTGTTGATTTGCTCTTGATGCAGTAGATCACTTATTTATATATTTTGGATTTCTGGGCACCGTGACTTGATTATTTGGGAGTTTTTTGGACCTTCCCTATTTGTCGCTACTATTCGACTGAAGGTATATTGTTCTCCCTTATTTTATTCCTCTATTTATTTTAGAGTTATTTTTGTGTCACGGGTGCCCTAGTATTGTTGTTGATATGACTACTACTGAGGGACTTGAGAACCCTACTGTTGACACCTCTACCGTTGAGACATCTATGGGTACTTCCACTTTTATGTTTGACCAGTATACAGTGCCTACTAGCACAGTTGCATTACCAGCATTACCGGGCATGATCTCTCAAAAAGTTACGGCACAATTGTTGAATGGTCGTAACTTCGCTGAGTGGTCACGCTCATTCCAGCTTTTCTTAGGCCGTGTAGGGAAGCTTGGTTGGCTGACGGGATCTCACCCAAAGCTAGCTGATGCCGACCCTGGATATTCTGCATGGTTCTCTGAAAACTGTGCCATTCTTGGATGGTTATTTGGCTCAATGGAGCCCTCTGTTTGCAGGATCCACCAGTTTCATAGCTCTGTTCCGAAGCTATGGAGCGCATTATCAGAGATGTATTCTCAGTCAGGACGGGGAGTTCGTGTTTATGAGCTTTCTCAGGAGCTCTCATATGCTCGGCAGGGAGATATGACCGTTCAGGATTATTATGGCTATTTGACCCAGTGCTGGCTTGAGTATGAGTCTCTACGTCCTCTTGCTGCTATTCCGAAGATAGAGCCCGAGGGAGCAGCATTCTTGCATACTCGAGAGCAGGAGGATAGGATTCACAAGTTCCTTATGGGGCTTCGTGATGAGTTTGAGGGACCTCGTTCTCAGATCTTGTCGATGTTGATGATATTATTATTACTGATGATGATGTTTCTGGGACTGCGCAGGTCAAGATAGATCTTGGGAAGGCCTTCGATGTGAAGGATCTTGGATTTCTGCGATACTTTCTTGGGATTGAGGTTGCCCGTAGAAGCAGAGGTATTGTTCGTTCTCAGAGAAAGTATGTTTTGGATCTTCTTTCAGATACTGGGATGTTGGGGTGCAAACCGGCATTATCACCTATGATTCCAAACCTGAAGCTTACTGCTGAAGGTGAGGAGTTGAAAGATCCGACAGTTTATCAAAGATTGGTAGGTAGACTTATCTACTTAGCCAATACTAGGCCGGACATTTCATTCGCAGTCAGCCGAGTTAGTCAGTTCATGCATAGGCCATGTCAGCCTCATCTTGATGCAGTTTATCATATTCTTCGGTACCTCAAGTCTTGTCCTGGACTTGGGTTGTTTTATGCATCAGGATCTCAGACCGGTTCTCTAGCCTGTTATTCAGATTCAGATTATGGGGGAGCATGTGATGGTCGATCTACTACGGGTTTCTGTGCTTTTCGAGGGACTCATCTTATCTCTTGGAAGAGCAAGAAGCAGGCAGTTGTCTCCCGCTCGTCCGCAGAGGCAGAGTATCGGGCATTGGCACTTGGCACATGTGAGATTATCTGGCTACGATCGATTCTTGACGAGTTGGGTTTTTCAGTGACCTCTCCATCCACATTATATTGTGATAATCAATCTGCTATTCAGCTCGCTTCTGACTCTGTACTACATGAGAGAACGAAGCATATAGAGATCGATGTTCACTTTCTTCGGGAGAAGGTCAGCAGTGGTCTTGTTACTCTATCGTTTGTGGGGACCAGTGATCAAGTTGCGGATGTTTTTACCAAACCTGTCACTCTGTCTATTTTTCGGGACTCCGTTGTCAAGCTTGGCTTAATTGACATTTTTGCGCCTAGCTTGAGGGGGAGTGTTGGAGTATAGATAGTCTAGGTTTATTAGGATTTCTTTTCCCTTTTTTACCCTTACTATGATTTTTATATTTTGCCTAAACTACAAGGATGTTTAAGTCACTCTGTATTATTTTTGGATATATATACGGGGTTCTACTCTTAATTTGAGTATCCCTTTTCATTCACAACTATCTCAAGTATTATCAAAAAGAAAGGGGATGGGATGGGTGGAGTTGGTACATCGGGTTCACGTAAAGATAAGAAGAGGTCTAGATTAATTCTTAGCGATTCGAGGTTGAGCGATGAGTTACTAGAGCGGATTCGGAGGAAAGTAACAGGCAAGTGTCGTAATGGCTCAGTTGATTTTAGAAAGAATGTTGTGGACAATGGAGAATTTGTTAGGAATGGCGAATCTGGAAGTGAAGAGAGAAAGGGAAGTAGGTTAGATTTGTTTGAATTCAATGAGTATGATGAATTCGATGGAAAGATGATGAGGAATGATTATATGATTGGATGTAGGGGGGAGTCCCATGGAATTTGGAAGTGGGTCTAGTAGAAACATAATGGGTGGGAGGAATAAAGGAGTCAATTGCAATGTAAAGAGCATGTTGGAGAGGGAGGAGGATGAAGCTCATTTGCTCATTTCATCTTTGAGGAGAGAGAAGTTTTGTGAAGCATCCGATAAGCTTATCAAGTTGCAGGGGAAAAATGGTGTTGAAAGTAATGGTCAATAAAAAGAAGATGGGTTTGTCTCATAGTAGTTACGATCATCAGGAAGTTAAGGATAGAAAGGGTTCTCAGTCCGAGGATGCTTTTAGAAAGAACACAGTGGTGCAGCCCTCATCTTATTCTGATTCGAAACAGGTTTTTGGTTTTCATTTTTTATAAACTAAAAACAGAAAACCATTTCAGTTTTTATTTTTTTTCAAAAACTGAAAATCGAAAACGTTACCAAATGCAAACTTAGCTGTTGGACAGTTTTTCTGGTGCAAAAACAAGTGCTTTTTTGACAGCCCATAAGCATCATCACTGTCCATGCTCATCTGATCCAATTGTATCACTCTATCAAACCATCCTATGGAAATCTCTCTCACAGCCTTGTTTTATCCTTCTTGTCATCTCTTCTATGGGCTTTCTATGAAGTGGAACTGATTCGTGTTCATCCTCCTAATCAAATTGCTGACTGCCCAGATGTTTTGGAGCCCAAAGCAAATAGAGAGATAGGAAAGAAGAGAAAAGATGGCCGCTGCAGGAAGATGGTGATATCGATGTGATGACTTATCAGGTACAAACAGTCATGTGTGTCTATATTCATATGCATATATAAGTCTATATTGTTGTGGAAGATTTAGTTTGAAATTTATTTGATTGGTGGGGCTAGGATTTAGGCTTAAGCGGAAAATAGAGATTTCCGTAAACTAGTTTGGAATTTTTATTGAAAGTTTTGTGGATTTTTTTGGTTAGTCTAAATTGACTTGACATTTGGTGAGAGAAAATCTGAAATTTGTACAGCAATCAGTGCACTAGGGTTGGCCGTTCTTCTTCTTCTTCTTGTGTCTAGGGCTCCCACTTATCCACTGGGTGGATAATTTTGTGTTAAAGCTTCTATAGACTGGGACTTTTTATTTAAGGGTTTTGATTATATCTGAAATTAAAATTGACTTTTGATTGTCACGTGGGTTAACAATTTTGCAAGTAGTACTAGTTATAAAATTTAGTAGAATTTATTTTTTCCTCCTTTTACAATGTTTTTTTGGCATAAAGAAATTTCTGGTTAAAGGTTCTCATATATTTTAGCTTTAGACATTCTTTTAAAGTTTTTGTATATGCTGAAGTTGTGGTTCCATAAGTTGCACCATAATGCTGAAAAGCCCCTGTATTATGTCATAATGCGTATGTGTCAATTTAGCTGTAAGGTTCAGTCCACGAATGCTTTTTTGGATTTTGCTTGAGACAATTACGTGTATTTTGATGGTTCTGGATTGAATATAGTGATTTAGGGATTCTCATCAAAGGGGATTTTTGCATGCGCTAAAAAATGATAGGGTATTTGTCTGAAACAGGGTTAAGACAGTAATGTCGACAGAAATTAGGATGAACTTTGATGAATAAAATAAGAATTAGTAGAAATTCTCATAGGCAAAGCAAATCGAACCTTTTTTTGGACAAAGAAGATAAAAAAACAAAACTATAGTTGCTAGGAAAGCTCTAGAGATTTTATGGGAAATGGGAAACGTCGAGGTGACCGAAACCTGGAAGAGTATTATGAATTGGGTAAATAAGATAAATGCCCCCTGTATTGTGATGTTAGTTTTAATTTACCCTCAATTTTATCCTGGAACTCTAAAAGTCGTGTCTTGCATTGTGGACTGACTGTTATTAAGAGTTACTTGGTATCCCTTTTTGGTTCCCTCTAACCGGGTTACGAAGGGGGTAGATTGAGTACAAACTTAATATTTGCCATTATTTGCACAAAATGGTTGCCTTAGATACGAACTCACATGGTCACAATTGTTAAGCCAATATTTCTACCACTACACCAGATATCACATCTTTGTGCAATTGTGTAGAAGTATTAATAGGGGGTGGGTGTAGTACAAATACGATTATACTGTCATTAAGTTTGTTTGACTATTGCTTCACATTCCCTTTCTGTTTTGAAGTTCGACTGACAGGAGGAGAAGAGGGCTTTCGTTTCCAATATGACTCCAAATGTTTCCTTCCTTCTTACTATTGCTGCTGTTGGCTTGATTGTGACTCGGGTTCTGTATGTTATTTATCGGAGTGGCAAACCACTTCGTAATAGGTCTGTGAAACCTTGCCGTACCCTGATCATTCTGGGTTCAGGTGTGTTCATGTGTCTGCCTTCCCATCACGCTGTAAATTGTTCAACATTATTTGCAGCCTGGTAATTTATTTTGATTCATGTAGGGGGCCACACAGCAGAGATGCTAAATCTCTTATCAGTGCTGCAAAAGGACTGGTTTGCTCCCAGATTTTACATCGCTGCTGCCACTGATAATATGAGCCTCCAGAAGGCGCGTGTATACGAGGACACTTTGGTTGATAAGGTGCATTGCATTATATTTTGTAGCTGTTGTTTACTCCTTTTCCTTTTTCTGAGAATTAGACATGGACCTTTTTTTTTTTCCAAATAAAAACTTCTAGTATTGGCTAAATGCATTGCTGATGAATTGGGGAATTGGTTAGGGGGAAGACATTTGCAAACTATTTGTAAAACTTATAAAACAGTTTTTGCATATCCTGTACAGAGTAGAATTAAGTGAGACATTTCTTGAAATCGTCTTTTCTTTTTTTTTTTTTTTGGAAAAAGGGATCACTTTTTTGCTGATATTAAATTGTCTTTCCTTGGTGGTTATGATGACATGTTAGCCTGTTCATCAATCATTCATCTGTTTCTTACATGAGATTTATGTCTCATACAAATGACATATTTGTAGGCCACCTAACTTATGATTTTAGAAATTGGTATGTCTTTCCATTATGGAAGTATTGGAATATAAATCCTTAAAATTAATGTCCTATGAAATTGTAATTGCTATTCATTATCTCGCTGAAAGCATTCTATTTTGTTCAGGTTGTCTCTGTCTATGATGAGCCGTTCAAATATGTCCCCTGATTGAGCACCTATGTAACTTTAGTCTTACAACTATTGACTCCTATATTCTTTTAGGCAAATCTCCTATGTTCTAGAAGGCAGATTCGATGTAACACTGCCTTTACCAGTTCAGCATCTTTCTTGTAAGTCCAAATGATGTTACCTTTAGTAGCTGTTTTTCAATGTTTTAGAAGTAGTGCAACAAATTTATCAGAGGCTTAGGATGATCACCTAATTTCCCAATATTGAAAATCAAAACTCCAGAAATAAACACTGCAATGTCTTCCCACAACTCTGTTTCCTCTCTATTGACAGCCAAATCAGTTACTCAGCTTGTGAGAAATCTTATGAAGCATTGATATGGATACGGTGATACAACAAAATATATAAAAAAAAAGGGATACGGTTACGGTTAGAATACGTCTATAAAATATATTTTTTAAAAATTTTATTATTATATTTAATATAATAATTATGATTTATTTATAAAGTGAATCATACATCTATCAAAGATATATAATAATAACTAACCATTCTATCATTCAAAAATCATACATTCATAATATATATTTTTTTTTGCAAATAAGGGCCCAAATATATTTGCTTTGGTGCCCTTATTCTTTTTAAAAAATTCAAGTAATACCCCGTTGTATCTCCGAAGTATGCCCTGTGTATCCTAAAGTATCCAAAATTCAAATTTATTTTTTTTAATTTTAGGATATTTCCCAACCGTATCGGATCCGTATCCGGCTGTATCGGACGTGTATCCGTATCCAAGAAGTATCTGATACCGATATTTTGACCCTTTTTGAAGTATCTGTGCTTCATAAGAGAAATCTCAATTTTGAACAATGTGTTTCCACAAGTTACATCCATGTGGGCTCATCACAATCCTCAATAGTGTTGAGATCTCTTTTGAATGTTACTCTCTCCTAATCTGCATAGTAACTCTCAGTTGATTTTGCTCAAATTTGCTCAATGCTATAAATCAGCCTTTAAAAATCCTCGTTAGTTGAAATTTTTTTCGAACTCTTTAAGATGATGCTTAAACCTTGTTGCCTAACGCTCCCAGAAGTTCTTGTTAAGCCTATTCAGTTACCCAACTGCTGCCCTTATTGCTAATATGAGTAAATTAATCAGGTGGGGGCAGCAAGACGTGAACATTATTTAGAGATCCGCTCTGAACTTCTAGGCTACTCCTGTTTTCAGTAAGGTTGAACCCTAGCGATAGGTTGGGCTTGTCTAGTCAAGGTCCATGTAGTCTGAAGCTGAAAGCTTAGTCTACTTTCAAGATTTAATCCTTCCTTGCAGATTAGCTTTATTCCACCCTATGTTGATTAGTGGGTATGTAGTTGCATTCTGATAATGGTCAATTTAATTCTGGGCCCTTTTGGCTCCAAGACCGTGAGGCCACAAATAGCGGCCCAAGAAGCCCATCTAGGCAATACCCCTGGCCTCGAACTGGTCTACACTACGGAGCTCGGACGTGACCAAGGGAAGCTTGGGTTGAATGGGCTTGGCACATATGAGCTCGTGACACAGTAACTCAGAGCAAGGTCAACATAAAAAGCTGCAAAGGGACACATGTCCAGGGGACAAGAGAACACAGTCAGGCAACTTGGATGAACAACAACCTGCAGGTAGTGGAGATAGATTAAGGACAACAGTCTAAAGATGGTGGAATCAGGAATGTTTGGGATCACAGTTCCAAGGTGGAATTGGATATAGAGGAGACCACTGGATCAGTCAAGAAGGACGAATGTGGAACCCTAGCCATCAGTAGTATAAATAGCTGGGAGTGCTACAGTGCACGTAGACGAATATACCTGTAAGTAAGCAAGAGAAAATCGAGTGATATCTTGGAACAATTTCAAGCCCCACTCTTTGTAACCGTCACCATCTTCCTCAAGTAATACAATCTCCCAAGGAGCAATAGCCTCCCTTACAGTGGACGTAACCCTAGTCCTTCGGCTAAGACGAACCATGTAAGTTTTATCTTCTCTTCGTTGTTCATTTACACCATACACCTTCACACACATCCACTTAAGCAATCACACACACATTGGGCCTCGCCCAATTCTGTTCAGTGACCCAGGTTCATTAGTTTCAAGCACCATCACATTCTATGGTGAAGTTTGTTATTCTTTTTATAGGAGAAGTTGGTTATACATTTGTAGTCAACTTGTCATCTCAGTTAACCAATTGCAGTTCCATAACATACCACTGTGGCCTTGAATAGTGCACATTCGAAGGCCAAATCAGAGGAAGGGTCAAATATATAAAAACTTGAGAACAGCAGTTACTTTCGCTGGAAATGATGGGTTAAATGAGGCTGGAATGGTGGAAAAAAGGTATTCTTTTCAATGTTAGCTGATGCTGATCCACCTTCCCAAATTTTTATTCCCTTTGGTGTGAGTGAACTTTTTTGTTGAATAGTTGGCAAGGAGAAAAGTCTTTTGAAGGGTTCTTGATAATTTCCTGTGTTGTACAACAACCTTGACACCTTTAATGCAAAGTTCTCATGCATCATTCTCTGGTATATATATTTTTATAGCTGAGAATGAGACTATCAATGAAAGGAAGTTTGGTGTTTCTTGGTTTATGCAAGGTGTTGTCGTCCTGACAGAAGAGAAGAACAAATCTTATTATAATTGTTAACTGTGTCATAAGTCTGAAATTTTGAAAGGAGAGATGTTAGTGTCTTTTGAATCCGATGCCTTGCTTCGATGTAATAAAAACACTCCTGCCATCTATTTAATTTGTTATATCGACCATGAAATGTGGAGTCTTTTTCTCAATTTAATATAGAGACCAGGTAAGTATTTTATTTTATTGAGGTTTGAGTTGTTGTACATATAAGTATGTCTTCTGTTGTTGAATAACATATAAGTTTCTATCCGACGGACTGAATTTTGCTTTTTATCCCTGATAAATGTTGCTGGTTTATCCAAAATGGTTTTGTTTTCTCGTAGAAAAGCATTGGGGTGGCATATACTGCTGATTTCATGCAGATTTATCGAAGCCGAGAAGTAGGGCAATCATATTTTACCTCTGTTGGAACGACCTTAATTGCAATAGCACATGCCTTGTGGCTAATGATTAGAATTCGACCACAAGTGGTATTTTTCCTATCTTCTATCAAGTTTTTTCTTCAACTCACTTTTGTTTCAGTTTTTACTGCTACTATTTCTTATCAATTTGGTATTCTGGTTGTGAATCCCTTTTTGTGATATTCCTTTTGCAGATTCTGTGCAATGGCCCCGGTACTTGTATACCTCTATGTGCAATTGCATTCGTTTTCAAGGTTTGGATGCCTAACTTGAAACTAATATTTCTCGTGTCTTTCTGGTTTTAGAAGAAGTGCTTCTAGAATTACTGTCTTTGTCAGATGGTATTTGAGATCAATATGCAGCATTTAATTATTACCCGCAGGTCTTGGGGATTAGATGGTCATCTATTTTCTATGTTGAGAGTATAGCAAGAGTCAGAAGGCTATCTTTAAGTGGTTTGCTTCTTTACAAGTTATGCATGGCTGATCAATTATTCGTGCAATGGCCACAACTACAGAAGAAATATCCTCGAGCTCACTATGTGGGTTGTCTCATGTAGTTGATACAGTTCTACATTTCCATGAGTACTCATGTCAAAAATCCCAGTTTTGCAATCTTACCTGCATCTGATGCCTACTTTTCTGAATGGCTGTTGCTTTCTTGACTGAAGAAGTGTAGTTGTCTCGTAGACCCCATCTCTTCGGAAGGGGGAAATTGATGAATGCTGCAAAGTTATTGACAAATACGAATTGTTACAAATTTGAGTTTACGTAAATTTAAGGTTTCATTAGCATCTGCAGGTCAGTTTCATGCAACAAAAATTGTATTGTAATTGCACCAAGAGGTTTGTTCACAATCTTTGTCCACTCAATTACACTACGTGTTGCTTTGGACTATGGAGTCCATTTCTGTTTTCCCAACATACGTAATTTTCCCTTCACAAAACATTACAGTACATGTGAGTTTCTTATTTCCTGTTCAGTGCTAGACCTGCAAATATTTTTCTAAAATAATTAGGCAATTCTAACACTCAAATTGATGCTTTCTTTGCTGGAGTGCTTCTTGTTTATCCAAACACTAGTTCTTTAATTATTACGTTTCTACCTACAAAGTAGCTGCAGAGTGCTACTTGAGGTGCGAAATGGAGTTAAAAGTGGGTGGAATGTATTATTACCATTTAATTAGTACGTCATGCACCTTGTCTGCTATGCGACTGATTTTCTATTACCTAGTCTTTGGGTGGCCTTCATGCCATGACTAGAAGTCTAATAGGTGAATACAAATTTGATTTTGGTTATAATTTGATCAAATTTGAATTTTCATGGATTATAAGAAATTTTTTTAGTGAAAACTAGAAAAAAAAATTAGGGATTAATGTATTTGTGAAAGGATAGAAGCACTTTAGATAAATTAAGAAAGGAGTGACTTAGATGGTTTGGATATGTATATAGAAGCCTTACAATTACATCGGCGAGGAAGAGTGATGCGATAACTATTAATGATAATGTGAGAGTGTGGAGGGAGATGAGACAGCCAACCCAACAATTGAGACAAAAGAAACAAAAGAGACAGGAATGCATAGAGACAGGAAGGTATAAAAACTAATTTGAATACAACATGTTGGCTGGTGCTTGAAGTAGGATCAAAACAGAAGGGGTGTGCGTGCGTGCGTGCGTGCGTGGGTGTGTGTTTCTTAGATATGGTTGTGTTTGGATCATATTTTATAATTTTGTGAATAAACTATGAACGAGATCTACCAATAAAGTGAATTAGTCTAATTGTAATGCCATGGGATAGACACTTAAACAACGCTGAAAAGATAAGCTAATTACCATGACTTTTTGAATCAAAAGGGAAACAATTACACAAAGACAACTATATTCAAGTGAGTGGTTAGTTATTATGTAATTCAAAAGACAATAGTTATTAACAAAGGGATTAAAATTGACTGACTTGACTTTTAGAATCAAAGGGCAGCAGTTGACAAGAGAGAATGGTGGAGGAAAAACTGCCAGATGATGATTGTAACTATTGATGGAAAAATGCCAATAGAAAGGGTATCAATTACAAGAAGAGGTTACGGTCAAACCCACAAAAGGCCCATGACTTCGGCATTTTTAGGAATAGTGCTTAGTTTAGATTGGGATAGGAGTTAGTGTTGTAGTTCAGGCTGATTTGTCTCTTGTAATTGAAATTACAGTTCAGATTAAAAAAAGTGTTCTCTTTTATTAATTCATGCATTTCTTTTCTTGCTTTGAGTCTGTCGATTTAATTCTTCCAAGAAAGTCCTAAAATAAGACATTTGAGTCTCATTCAAACAATCGCTTTGAAAAACACTATCAAAGGGGATCAAACTAGTCAATCTTTGGAGATTTTGGACCAACAATTTTTGAAACGCCCAGTGGGATAAAAATAATAACCTGGATCAAGATGGTATGAACAAGGAAGCAAGACGAAAAAATGGTTGGAATGAAATGATGTGAGCATATGGAGGCAACACCTACTGGTGTCAACCATGTTGACAGAAGTTCAAGTTCTAATCAGGCAGAACCTATGGTGCAAGAGAATGGCCAAACCAGTGGCTAAAGCAGTTCACTGATGTAAGACTTTGTGCAAAACTTGAAATAGGTATTGTATGATCCTTATTCAAGCATTATGTAAGATTTGATGAATGTTATGCATGAATTGTTTAGTGGCCAAACAAATATGTCAGGACATGCTAATCAAAGGGTCTTCTACCATGGGTTGAAATCAAGTGATAGAAGAAGAAGAAGTCAACCCAGTGGTATTTCTTGTAGAGAACCAAGGGCCACCAATGATGGTACCCAACATAGGGTCTAGTGTTAGCACCAAAATAATTTTAACATGATAAAGACTTGTAAATTTTGATGTAAAACATATATAGGTTAGTTTATAAATCAAGAACTAGGGTTTTTCAATTAAGAACATATGATTTTTGAATGTAAAACATGTATTTGGATGTAAATAATCTATTTACTCAAGAATTTAAGCATGTATTAAAAAATAATATAAAAATTTTGTAGATTTATCACATATATAGAACATGAGTCAAATAACAAGATTTTAAATCAAGAACGGATAGATTTTGAAAGAAAATCATGTATTTTGTTCAAGAATCAAATCATGTGTTCAAATGAATATAAAAATATTGTAGATCAATTATTTATATCATAAATATGATGAAAAAGATATATTATATAACTCGAATCATCAATGAATGAATCTGAAAAAGAACGCCTACCTTGATTGCTTAGATCTTGGTCCTAACGTGTTTTGTTTCGATTACCATGTGTTAATACTTAGCTAGTTCTTCCTCCTTTTATTCTCCTTAAACTTTTTGAGGCTTCTTGGGGTTGAAAAATAGGTAAACACTTTAGATTGTGGTCCTAGAGTATTTATAGGCTGAAAATTAGAGAATTCTCGTCTAGACGTGGGTGATAGTTTGCCTCTGATTTCCAGGTTGATTTTGACATTGTTAGAGGTCGATTCACGAAATTTTCATGAAATATACTTTCATAACCTTTGAAATCTAGTTTCTACTGTCCAAAAATCAGTTTAATTGAACATCAGGGTAAAACTGTTATAGGCAAAATACAAAGGTAGTATTAAATTCCTTTCTACCTAAATCATCTCCAAAATAGGTTTTAACTTCGGCATACTTCTAAACTTCTAATACACCCCATATAACATCTCTCTCAAGGTTTTTCAACTTTTTGTATTCAATGGAAATCTTATTTTGACTTAAAAATATTTATAAAATTACTTAAAAACCCTTTTTCAAGTTTAAATATCTCTAAAACTCAATTTAGCCCAAAAGCTAACACACGCGAAATTCAAACTTCATAATTAATCTTTTAACAATGATTCTAAGTTTCTATCATCATTTTTTTCATCTTAGGAGTATTCTTAAGATAATATTATTATTATTTAATTTAATACGAGTCTTACAATCCACCCCCTAAAAGAAAGTTTCATCTTCGAAACACAATCATCAACGCAATCTATTTAATCCCAATTGACCACAAGCTTTCAACTTATATTAATCCCTTAAGCATCCAATTTAAGATTAGAATAGAATATCATATTTTAAATTTTAATTCCATCCCTTCCACTTATACCATCATTGTAGTTGCTTAAAGTCCTCAATATTACCTTCATTCACTCGCATTCATTTATCACCTTCATTCTTAATAATTTTATACAATTATTCCAACTAATTTCTTATCATACATAACTAGTATATCATAATACTTAATTTTTTACTCATCAAATATCACTTCTCTTTTGAATTCATCAATCCTTTCAATAAACCTCATATTTGCTTCTTATATGTGTTTTATCCATAAGCATATCAAAAGAACTCAAATGTAATTTCGCTAATAGGGTTACTCGTCTTTCCAATACTAACATCATGGTATAACACAAAACTTAGTAATGACATTACAATAAGATTAATCTCGATTCCTAAAATAGATACAACCTTCTTAATGACTTTATCTCTCACTAGACTAGAGAAACTCACAATCTTTGAAATCTAACAATAATTTCAAATCACAACTACATACTCCACACATAAGTCAATATTCTAGGATCAACTCTTAGGTTGCACACCCTTTTATAATTTCTCATTATACTCTTTACCTTTACCATTGTAGTTATAGCTCAAATAGATCGCTGCACGCTCTGATATAAATTATAATCTACCAATTCATAAATCAAAATGGGCCACAAGATAAGAATTCCCATAGGTTTGAAAATTTTGAAAAGATATGTCAGATTCCACCAAAGTGTACAATTGAAATTTAACCACACTTGTCTCCCGATTGTAGCTTCTAAAATGTATACACTAATGATCCATATAATCCATCCAAAGAGAATTTTAGTAATTAACCAACTATACTACTTAGGCTAAGGGTCAAGTTATATCTCCAAGACATTTACTTTAAGTACCCAATCTTGAGTTCAAATCAATAAGCCTTACAATCCCCTTCATAACTCACTTGTATTTGGATTCATACTTTTAGATACATCTTAATATCTCCATATTATTCACCAACTCAATTGAAACTAATTATTTTCTCTATCTCCCAAATATTCGTTCTCAATCTCTAATCTTGAGCTAGAATCAGTAAACCATGTAATTAATCCTAAGTGACTTTCATATATCTCTCCAATCTGTTCACGATATATATAATCTTCAATTTCCATGATTCCATCTGGTATAAATATACTTATTGTACTATAATAGAAAGTAAAGACAGACTGTCAAGAATCCCAACAATGTCTCTCAAATCAATGCCACAAGATTTCTTGTCATAAAATTATAACAAAAACTAGATTCCCAATAATTCAATTAATGTTCTTCAATTTAATTACATTAGTCATCATAGCCTTAAAATTTTTTCATAATCCCCGAGATAATAACAATCTGCTAATTAGTAGAATAACCTTAGTCCTTTACCCCAAAAATTGCTTAAAGTTTCTCAATTCTTGTCCAAGTCAATTTGCATTGGTGGGATCACAGCCGATTCTCCTATA